AGGACTATAAGTTTTACTTTCGTTTTCGTTAACGAAAAATTATTTCGATGAACAGAAAATTGAAAATTTATTAAAATAAAACTTACCGATGATATGAAATACGAATTACGGGTAATCATTTTTGGTGCGGCGATCATTTTTGCGCTCCAAAAGAGCACAATAAGGCATTTGTCTAGGATTTTAGACAATTTGCACGAAAGAATGACACAACATACCATACAAAGTGAAAATGGCGGAGTGGGCTCAAGTAGGTCTTTCGAGGCCTGTAATTGGCACGCGTCGTACGCTAACGAACCATTTCTACTGTATTTATTGTTCTGTGTCTGTAACACAGGTCCCCAACCTAGTACAGCCTCCAGCTCTCACTAAGGAACTTTTTGTTTTATATGTGATGTAACTACTTTTAGACCTTTCTGAGAGAAATATGGCATTTTATATTTGTATATCGTCAGACCTTCGGACGGTGGCCGCTTTGGCCCGTCGTCTGATCAGGAAAATGAAAGTATTTTATGCGTTGTGTCGACGACTGTAGTAGTCAATGTAGGTTGGGCATAAAAATGAGCTATGTGTTCAAATACTTGCATTGGCCCTCGATGCCTGTTGGATCATGGTCTGGATCCAGGGTAAGTCATATGTTAATACGATCTATATGCATAAGCACTCGAGCTCAAATGTGTTGCCGCGGAGCAGACTATTCCGCTCCTTTGAGCGAAATCTAGTAACGTCAAAAAAAAATATTTTACGTCTATTGTGTAATCTTAAAAGATATCAAACAAAGGAGGAGGTTCTCAATGCAATTGTATGTTTTTTTTGTACGTGTGTTACGCGATAACTCATTTGTGGGCATTTGTGAACCGACTTTGATGATTCTTTTTTGGATAGAAAGTGGGTACCTCGGTAGTGGTCCCATTTATATTTGAAGAAAATATTTCACCTCTAAGGATGGCAAACTAGGGAATGAACCCGGCGCGCACTTTCATCATCATCATCATTCAGCCATACGACGCCCACTGCTGGGCATAGGCCTCCCCCAACGATCTCCACGACGATCAGTCCTGCCTCTATCGGCTTCTGGCGACCTTTACCAGATCGTCGGACCACCTGGTGGGGGGCCTACCCACTGAGCGTCGTCCGGTGCGCGGTCGCCATTGAAGAACGTGTGACCTCCTTTCACCGTCATCTCGCTTTTTTGTATCGCCTCTCTCCTCTTGTATCCTATCATTTTTTTATTTTACATGTATTTAAATTGCAAATTTGAATTGTTCCATCTTCCTTCACTTTCTAATTTTGTTTTCGTACCACGGTCACTCCCAGCTCGACCGCCACAACAGTCGGAGCTGTTCCAAATTCCATTTACTAACAAGTTATAATACAAAACATATAATACAACAGTCGGAGCAAAAGAATTATCAAATATTTGCTGCAATAGTTTTTCGAGCAAAAATGAAGACATAAACCCGAATGTAACGGTGCCGCCATTGAAACCTATTACACGAATATAAATACTTGTACAGACGTTTTCTGGCGCTTTCTGGCGCTTTTCAAACCTGTCCACCCCAACGGCCATCGGTTCTCCTAGCTATGTGCCCCACCCACTGCCACTTCAGCGGAGCAATTCTTCGAGCTATCTCGGTGACCTTCGTTCTTCTTCGGATTTCCTCATTTCTGATTCTATCACGTCGGGAAATACTGAGCATCGCTCTCTCCATTGCCCGCTGAGTGACCTTGAGCCGTCTTATGAGGCCCATACTTTCCGTTAGCCGATGTTAATAAAACTTGGTAAATAGATGTAATTTCAAAAATAAAATTGATGTACAGAATTCTACATAAGTTTTGACTATATTGACCCCCCCTACCGAACCTTAGGGTATACAAGAAGGGCACTATAACTTCTATAAGCAGAGATACCTTCTAAGTTCAGGTCCTGACCCCGGATCAGCCAGTGTACAAGGTTGTCACAGACCGATCGTAACCAGACCAGATACAATAAAAAAAAAAAACAGGTTACGCGATAAGTGCCTACCGCTGAGTGTACCGACGTCGGCACAAGCGCTCATACAAGTCTTTCATTAATGAGCATTCGGCTCTGAGCATGGACTCTCGACAAGACCGGATTTCCTTTGCTACATATGCGAGACGAAAAAAGCTGCCGCATAGAAGGCGAGTTGCATCTACTGACAATGGCTTACAGTATAGGTTTGGAGCTGGCACGCAATGAGGCTGACTTTTTACGCATAATAGCGTAAAGTCAGTTCGAATCCGGCCGGATCGAAAGAATTTTTTCTAAGAAGTGGAGTAATTTTACAAAAAATAATTGAATATCATGATAGCGAAACATTCTCACATTCAATAAAAAGTTAATTATCACTTAAATTAGTTATTAATCGATTTGCTTGTGCTATACCGTTCGTTTTAATATGTTTATTTACTTTATTTTATTATGTTTTATTCACAAGTAAAAAGTTTACAAAAAGGAGCACAAAACCTCGAATAAAAACCATTAAAAGATCTAACAAAAGAATTAATATCTAATACTTATACTTAACTAATAATTTACGCTACTTACTTAAAAGCGATTAAGTTTCACAATTTGATAAATGAATTGGCTTGGGAATTGTTTTACATTTTTCCGGTTTACCCAGAAGTTCATCAAGATATATATATAATATATATATATATTATATATATATATTATATTATTATATATAGGGTCTGAAAAACAGCTTAAGCTGAGACTCTATCCTTTTTATCTACACAGTATCTATAAGTGATGTTATTTACGACTAAACTGTTTTGTAAATGTAGATAAATGTTATATATTATAATATATGTATATTTAAGATTCTAAACAAGGTATTTGTTTTATACGTTTACGAATTTCATACGTACCTGTAACATTGTATTTGAATAAAAAAATATGATGAGTATATTCCTGCATTGTTCACAGGCATCCTACTGGTTCAAGCATTCCATCAAATTTCATGCCGCCATATTGAGAATCAACAACCTGAGGACTCCGTCTCCAACGAAAAAATCCAACACCAACTTCAAGACCTCCTCCTTCCATTATTCCAACCCAATGACGAAGGCAACGTTGGCAATGTTCTTAATATCATACCTTATACAGATAGAAAAAGAGCAAAAAGCAAAAAGGATACGCCAATGACAATAATACTAACCACAAATTTGTCTGAAAAAGGAAAGAAGAAGGGGAAAAAAGATGTTGTAATAGCAGTTCAAGCTCTTAACAGTTATGGTGCACCATTACCGGACATTGGATCTTTATTGAATTTAAGTCATCAGAACACAACAGAGTCAATTGAAAGCTCTCGGAGTTTACCCTCTGCCTCTAAAAGAACGAATAATAGAACATCAGAATGGTTGGAAAATGAGAAAGGTGCACATAATATTGCTGAAGATGAAAACATTGAAAGATCACAAATTGCACAAAATCGTTACGCGAAAAAGAGACATCATCATGCAATATCAAAGAATAAAGGAAGAGATGACCAAAATATACAAAGATATCAGAAACCAAAACATATTGAAATAAATCTAGTTAGAGCAGTACATTCAAATACTGCTGAACAATTAAGTACGGAGGAGGAACAAAGTGCAAGGGAGCTAACAGCCGAGTTATCCAGTGCAGAACGGAAAGCCAGCACTTCAGAGCTAGCAAGTTCTGCAGAACAATCGGACATGACGAGACAACTAAGTACGGCAGAGCAATCAGATACAGTAGAGGAATCTAGTACAATTCGGTTGCCAAGTGCGGCAGAAAAACTCAGTAACGTTGGACAATCAAATATCCCAGGAAAAACTAGTACAACAGAAGAGCCCATTACGGTGGAGGAGCATAGCATGTCTGAGGAACTTAGTACTTTAGAACAACACAGTACTGAACTTAGGGCTGCGAAACATCAAAGTATTTCGAAACAAACAAGTACAAAGGAACTACAAAGTTCTTCGGAACAGCTAAATACTGCAGAGGAATCAAGTACTATGGAAAAATCTAGTACCGCGGAAGAATCAAGCACGACACTGAAGCCTAATATAGTGGAGCAGCGAAGTGCGACTATGGAACCCGGCACCGCGGAACGACCCCGTGTTCGGGAAGAACATAGTACTGCGGAACACTCAAGTGTAGCCGAACAATCAAGTTCTTCGGAACAGCCAAGTACTGTAGAGCAAACTAATAATTTGGACCAATCTCACTCTGCGGAGCAACCAATAATGGCAGAGCTAATAAATATTACGGAGCAAAGAGCTAATATAGAAATTGATAGTCAAGAAAAAAAAAGAAATATAAGAACACCAGGAGGGCAAAGCCCTGCTACGATAAATCAAAATACATCCGAAGACTCAATTACACCAGACAACACCGTTACAAGTAGGCCACCTATTATTGAAAATATTAATGTAGCTGAACGTCTGGAAGAACAGATTGATCGTGATCTAGAAGAACAGATTACTGAGAAATACCGTGCTGGGAAAATAACTGGACCTTGGGGACCAATGTCTGCAGAAGAATCTACGGAAGAAAAACGAGTTACGTCGGAAGTTACATCGAAACTTATCTCAAAGCACCATTCTGTGGCAGATATATTTATTATAAGGGGGCAAATTCAACCCAGAACAGGAACAGTAGAAGAATCCACAACTGAAAAATTTGCTCCATCCGAATTAGTATTAGAAGACTCGTCAGATGTTCCATCAAAAGTTAAAGCAGATGAACCTTCTGTAGCAGAAGTAACTAGTGTAAGACATACACCAACAACAGAAAAAATAAATTTGCAATGGGAGCCAATAACACCAAAACCAATTACATCGGAAGTTACCCAAGAACAGCAAGAATTAAGTAACGATGGTATTACAATGAAACAATATAGTTTAGAAAATGAACCAGGTATGGATGAATATACAGAGGAACAACTAGAAAATTCAATTATATCGGAAGTTACCCCAGAACAGTTTGTAGAGATTAACGGCGAGACTCTACGGGAGCAATATTACTCAGAACATAAACCAAAAAATGCTGAAAACACAAAGGAGGAACCAAGCGCAGAAGCTATAACTTATCGCAGAGGAGAAACTTCTGAGGAATCTACTACGTCAGAGGTAACTGTTATAAGAAAAAGACATAGAAAAGGAAAGAAACCTACAGATAAAACCCTATTAGTATCGCAAGCTATCCTAGAACAGCTTGGATTGGTTAACGGTGATACGTTGGAAAAATATAATTTAGAACATAAACAAAAAATAGCTGAAAATACAGAGGAAAGTCGCACAGAAGAAGAGCTTGAAGGAATTTCCGTGGAACCTGTTATATCAGACATGATAGTTACAAGAAATAATTATAGAAAAGGAAAGAAAACCCGACAGAAATCAAAATCAGTTCCAATAGAAGAATTTGCAGCTGCAATTACTCCAGAACAACTTGGATTGGAACAATACATTTTGGAAAATAAACATCTTATGGGGGAAGAAGTAGGAGAAGAGTTTGTAGCTGATCGTATTAGAGAGGAGCTTGAAGATAATTATGAGGAACTAATACCAAATATTAGTTTACTACGTGACTACGATGCTTACGATAACCCTGTTGCTGAACCAGCTGCGTTATCAGATGCAGAAACCTCTAATTTGTTTAATATGTTGCTCCGACAAACTGAAATTGACTCTTTATTGAATGCCCAAAATGATGGTGAACGTCTTGAATCAAAAACACAACCATTAGTTATTGTAGTACCAAAGAATATGGATTGTTCCGATAAAGAAAAAAACTCACATGATGAAGAAAAACTTCTTCGAGATGAAGATATATTAAAACGATTAAATTGGGACAGTCATGAGATTCCACTAGACGTTCGTGATGGTTTAGAACAAGATGTTTTGAACCAAGATCTTTTGAATTCTAGATATATTTTAAGAAATGAGAATAAAAACAATGCTTTGTTGAGTCAGGAAAATGATATTCGTCAGGATAATTTGCATGAAACAATTTCTAGATATGACAAAATTTTAAGAAATAGTGGGGGTGATTATGATGCTGGTGATGGTCATGGTGGTGCTGATGACGGCCGTGACCTTTACCCTGAACAAGAGGAACGACTAGGTAATCACGAGATATCTAAACAAATCGCCAAAGAACGATTGGCAAATATTAACCACATTGATACAATGCGCACAGAGGACAACAAAGAAGTAGTAAAATCTTATAATTTATCTTTTACATTTAATAGAAAGTAAAAAGAAACATGATTAGTCAAAATAATAAAATTTAAAAATAATATTAATATAAACGAATATGGCGAGAAACGGACTATTGATAGTTTTAAGATAATACAAATCATGATTATATCTATCTTATCCAAATGAATCCATTCACAACAATAGAAGATTTAATAACTTAGTATTGGATATAGAATTTGATATAGGTTTGGATATAGAAACTTAGTATTGGAAGCTTCCAGTATTCCGTTCATACACAAACAGTTATAGCTTTAAATCCATAATAGACAGAAGACAACATTACGGACAAGGAAAGCTTCATATTTTATTTAATATAGAGAGATTTCACTGATCTTAAAAACATCAAGATCTGCAATGGATCCTTTGGCTAACGATGATAGAGAATAGAATTGAAAAACAGCTTCAAGCAAGGTTTGTTCTTAATTATATTAAAAGTGTACAGGTGTTACAAAATATGCAGTCGATCCGAAATATTGGGCTAAACCAAAGGGGCCACAACTGAAAATCACTTCATTAGATGGCTTTCCTTATGTTTTTAAAATATGTGCTACATACTCTGAAGATTATTTTGAGATGAATAAGTAAGTATGCTATGTATCGTTAAGGCTCAAGTCACACTGGCACAAAGTCGAAGCGTCACGTCGCGTCGTTTTAAACTACAAAAAGGCGAAGGCGAAGGCGGCGAAGGCGCGCGTTGTCGCGCGTCGTCGCGCGATTCCGTATTTGCATGACACATATTTGTACCTAAATAGTAGGAAAATAAAGGTGAATATGCTATAGGTGAAAAATATGATACGTCGCGACGCTTCGACTCTGCGCCAGTGTGAGTTGAGCCTAAAAACCAAACTAATTTAAAACTACATCCAAATTCGTAACCTTTATTTGTTACCTTTATTTCGTAGAGTTTTTGGCGCAATGTGAATTTTGGTTCCAGCAACTAGAAAATGCTGTTACTGTCTGTTATAGGTAGTTTCCTGCCATTTGGAAGCCTAGAGCTCTTGCAGATCCTTCTCCATTTGGTGTTTCAAGCCTTACAGATACAGTTTTTCACCCCTGCTTCATCATTCACAGTCTTATATATAATATTTGCCATTGTTCGACCCACTTTTGGTTTTTTCTTTCCAGGCTACCGCATTTCTTACAGAGCCGCTAATAAACTGAATTAATTGAAGAATTGTTTGTTTGCATCTGCAAAAACTACAATACGTGTTATCATGCTACCACCAGCCGCTACCTCATTCACCGCTCTGGGGGCACTCTCTTCGTCCGTGAAAGCCAGTCGCGCTGCTTATGCACTGTAAGATGTAAATAAATTCAATAATTACAGTATAAATTCACCAGAATGTCAAAGAGTAAAGAACCCTGAAAATGATCTACGGCTATAAAACAAAATTATGCCGCATACCATTAAATCAAACAATTTTGATGAATTTGCCTGTAGTTCAGACGCAGTGTAATGGTACCGTACTACAATGAGTGGCCATACAATTAAGCATTAACATAGCGAACGGTTACGGGGTGGAATCCCTACCAACAGATTTATTCCCTGAATGCTTAAAAAAATGCTTTCGCTGCTAATTACCTCAGCAGTTCCACCCGTTGTCAATTATCTCTCCGAGTTGCTTGTACATACAAATAGTTTATGTTTTCTGCTAATGCAAAATTTGTTATGTACAAATGGATTCTACAACAATACCTCTATTTTCCATTATTGAAGATCTCCTTTTTCTAATGGTGAACAAGGAAGCACCAATTTGGAAAATTGACATTTCTAAATTGATTTTGATCTGGGAATTTCATGGTAGCCTAATGGTTTTGCCTACCGCCTTTCACGCAGAGTCGTGGGTGCAAATTCGAGCTTAGGTACACCTCTGAGCTTTTTAAAGCTCATGGTAAATCACTGAAGTGAAGGAAACATCGTGAGGAAAGCTGCATACGTTTGCAAAGCATTTAATGACGTGTGTGGAGTTTCCAATCTTCATTGGGAAGTACAGCCCAAGCCCCCTCATTGTGAGAGACTTGTAGTCAGCAGTGGGACTATAAATAAACTTACTTACTTTACTGGCTCAGCGACCCGAAGTGGATCTTGGCCCTCAACACCAAAGAAAGCCATTTCTGTGGGTCTTGTGCCAATTCCGATCACTCGGACACATTCAGTTCCTTTAGATCTTAGACTTCATCCTTCCAGCGATATCTTCGACGTTCCACTCGTAGGTTGCCCCAAATACGCTCTTTTGGCAGCTCGGTCCTCTCCCTTTCTTACCACAAGTCCTAACCAGGTCTACTAGCCAAATTCGATGTAGAATGTTTAATAAAAAAAAACGTTGCTAGGCAAACAATGGTGGCGTAAAAAAAGAACGTTTTTTAATGTTCATTATTGAGGCTTGTTCTGCCCACGGCGTGCTCCCTTAATTGTAATTTAAATAGGTAAGTAGGTAATTAGGTTATGTAGAAGTAATACTTACCTAGCCAATTATTATGAAGTTTACAAAATACCTATTGATACGTATGATTTAGTAACAAAATTATGTTTTTGCATCCTATTCATATTTACTGCTAGATGGTAGGTAATGGTAGATGAAAAGAAACAAAATTGTATGATTTTATTTGATATTAATTTACCACATATTAAATCCATCCATGCATCCAGCATCTATTCCCGATTCTCACCTTGAATTACCACCAGAACTCGAATGTTTGCAATCCTCCCTTTAAATCAAAAAGTCGCTAGGGATGACACAGTTTTACAAATAATTAATTAGTGGTCATTTTTATGTTTCGAGATAAGTTTGTGTTTTTTATCGTGAACATTTTTAGGTATCGTTTTTCCCACACCATATCGAACTACCATCATATTGACTTTTTTTCATTTATAATTGATATTTTTCAAAGAAATAGAAACTTTGGAAGCTAATTATTTGAAAGTTACTAAAATGTAAATGAATTGGTGTGCTAAATAAAACTTACCTACAGCACCCTCTGATTTGTTTCGTCTCTCATAGCATACTACAGAATTCCCAGTATGAGTATGGAGTCCCTTAGTTTACGGAGAGACGTTGGCTCTCTGTGTGTGTTCTACAGTTTTTATAATGGGGAGCGTTCAGAGGTACTTTTACCTGGTGCCACCGTTCGTTTCTACCATCGCACATCCCGCCAAAGGAGTGCAGTCCATCCCCACATCTTAGATCCCTGGTATTGTCAGACCACGCGGGTATTACGTTCGTTCCTACCTTGAACCTGCAAGATATGGTCTGCTCCTGAAGTATTTCCTTTGCTCTATGACACGGGGTTCTTCAAAAAGCGTGTTTACAGGGCTCCTAAAGGCTGACAACGCTTGGGCAGCTCATCTGATGATGCAAATGTCCATGGGCGACGATGACCACTTCCCATCAAGTGGTTCGTCTGCTCGTTTGCCTCCTTCTTTTATCACCTTGGTCTAATAGTTATGCTTTGTTAATAGTCCACTGGAATTTATTTTGTTTCTCCTGTTGAAAATATTATTGAATGGGTTTATTATTTAAGTCGGTCTGTTTGATTTTTCAATGCATAATTTGTTACATCTGTTACATTGTAGGTTAGACATGCATAATAAAAAATATAATCGCAAAAGTGATTATGACAAAAAAAGATCTCATGAATTACTTATACACTGATTTAATGTAGATTATTAAACGAATGACAGCATAATTCATTGTTTCTTTTTTACCCAATTTCAGAAGAGAATCGCGTGCACGTGCTCGGAAATCTAAACCAGAAATAATAAAAACGACTAGAAATTAAGAATAATTTTAATGAAATAAAAATCGGTTACAAAATCTATAATGTTCACATTTTAAAAGCGGGGCGTTATGAACCACACCAGCAAAGAGCAGATAGTTTTTTGACATTGACACTTTGCAGTTGGCCGCTGATGGCCTTGACTGAGCCGCCGGCGCGTTTCTCTATGGTAGCGAGATAAATCGTGTCTATCAATTTAAATACCTGGGTCACTAGGTAACCGATAACTTGCATGATAGTGCCGACATAGAGAGGGAGAGAGGGGCCCTGTCTGTTAGATGTAATGTGCACAGGGTTTGCTCGTTGCACCAAAGATATAAAGATCTCATTATTTAAAGTATTTTGCTAAAACTTTTACACGACACCGGCACCGACACCACACGGCACCGGCAGAGACGTTCCTAACAATATAAATATCCGACCGTGTTCGGTCATGGCGACCACTTTTGACTTCCAGTTGGGCTGGCACTGCTGCGCTCGAAGATGACTAATGTAGCCAGTCTTCGCTGCGAACTCTCATGCACAGTGAGGGTACTTGAGTACATCGCTAACGGGATTATAGTGACTGGCTGAGGGTGGGCGCGCTTTTAACTCGTGACGCTTAGCATAGAGTTCAGCTTTACGCTGCTATTCAAACTCGTGGACTTGCCTTTTCACAATCTTCCCAATGAGTCCAGAGAAGTAATTGCCACCTTACCTATTTTTGCCGCCAAGCAGTAATGTGACCATTACTTTGCTTTCCCGCTTTGAATGGTTTTGGTGAAATCACAGGCATATGGGACTTGTCAATTTATTATTACTTTTTTTTTATAATATCAAGTGACTGGACGAAGAAGTTGTGCAGTGACATAAGTTGACAAGTTCCATGTGCCTGTAATTTCACTAGCACCCTTAACCATTTAAAACCGGAACACAGTAATGGTAACATTACTGCTTGGCGTCAGAAATAGGTAAGGTGGCAGTACTTCCCTGGACGAACTCTTTCACAAAGAGCTCTACAGATATTAATGTCTTAACATATGTACGTAACAACTTATGTCTCAATGTAGGCCCCTCAGATCTTTGCGATTTAAAGCTCGGAGTGGGTTTGCAACTGTTGTGGACAGGTGTGTTACTTACCACCAGACGCACGACTTGTTCGTCTGTTCGTCCATGATACCAAACATAGAAAAATATACTAAACGAAGTAAGGTCTCATCAAATTTTTGAGGTTTGTTACACATTCGAAATGAACCGACCCGAAATCTATGAGTATGAGTGTGTGTGTAATTAAAATAAAAGTTACAATAGTTCTTGATAATTTCACAAAAGATTCACAATCTGGTTGCGATCCAGGAGCTGTAGCTGGTCACCCTGGCGTAGACTTGAGGGTGTCCTCGTTGACAGCCGTCGGGGTGGAAACAGAAATATTGTGTAAAAATTAAACAGCCTTTAGAAATAACTACGACTTCAAATTATACGTTCGAAAAAGTATACCTAGTTAAAGTGGGTCCACTGCCTAAGGACGCAAACGGTCACGTTTACATTCTCACTTTGCAGTGCGAACTGTCTAAGTTTGTGGAAGCATACCCAATACAGTCAAAAGATGTAGTCACCGTAACTTGGATATTTGTGGAAAACTTCGTACTACGATGCGGGATACCGCGGGAAATAGCAACGGAGCGTGGCACAGAATTTATCTCAAGTACTGTGAAGCAGGTATGCGAACTGTTCAGCAGTTTTTATTTTAATAATTAGCCAACTCACATCGACTGCGTATCACCACGAGTCGATGGAAGCTCTAGAAAATACGCATAAGACAAAGGGCGCGTATTTGCGCAATAATTGCGAAAAACAAGCATCATCGTGGAGCAGCTGGCTTCATTATTGATGTTTTGCGCACAATAATACGATTCACGGCGAAACAAATACACACCACATGAGCTGGTATTTGGTAAGTCATATTACCAAATAAGCATATTACCTAATAATTTCACAGATGGCTTAATGGATCCTATGTATGACTACGACAGCTACCCTGTCGAGTTCAAATACAGACTCCAGGTCGCACAAAACGATGCTAGGAGTAACTTAATAGGGAGTAAGGTGAAGAGAAAACTAGCCTACGACTGTAAAATAAATCCAGTTCAGTATACGAAAGGTAAGTATCTGTTACTAAAAAACGAAA